CCCCGGCACGGCACCGGCAGGATGCGGCCCCCACAGTGAACGTTTAGAGGTTCCAGCACGGCCATGGGGGACACGGGGGCCATAGGGACATGGGGGACCACCAGGGCCATGGGGGACACTGAGGCCATAGGGACATGGGGGACCACTGGGGCCATGGGGGACATCGGGGCCATAGGGACGTGGGGGACCACCAGGGCTATGCGGGACCACCAGGGACATGGGGGACACCGGGGCCATAGGGGACCACCAGGGCCATAGGGACACCAGGACCATAGGGACATGGGGAACCACCAGGGCCATGGGGGACACCAGGGCTATGGGGGACAATGGGGCCATAGGGACATGAGGGACCACCAGGGCCATGGGGACACAGGGCCATGGGGGATAGCGGGGCCATGGGGACACCAGGGCTGTGCAGGACCACCAGGGCCACAGGGACACCAGGACCATGGAGGACATCAGGGCCATAGGGATGTGGGGGACCCCAGGGCCATGGGTGACACTGGGACCATGGGGGACCCCAGGACCATGGGGGACACCGGGACCTTGGGGGACCCCAGGACCATGGGGGACACCAGGGCCATGGGGGACATTTGGGCTGCGGTGACGCTGAGCCGCCCCTAATTGCAGCCAGCTGGTCCCGGGCCTGCGCTAACGAGGGCAATAAATCAGCGGGGTCGGCCCCGGGGGTGGGGGGGGTCCTGGTGGGTCCCTGTGCTGGGCTGGAGGTGCCGGCCCTGCCGGTGCTGGGGACACCATGGCATGGCACTGGGCATGGGGACAGCATGGCACAGGGCACGGCATGGCTCAGGGAGTCCACGGGGGAGACCGGTGACACCCAGAACACAGGTGATACCCAGGACACGGGTGACACCCAGGACAGGCTTGGGGCAGCCCCCGGTGCCGGTACCGGGGGGAAACCGAGGCAGCGGAGAAGGCCGGGAGCCATGGCGGCCTCCCCCTCCCCAACAGCTGCTCTTAATTAAACCGCAAATCAACCCAGTTGATTAACCCCAAATAAACCAGAGCACGGCTGAGTGCTGAGTCCCCCGTCACCCCATCCCGTGGCCCCCCCCGGTGTCCCGGTGTCCCCCCCCACCCCCGGGGGTTCGGAGTTGCTCCCCAGGTGAAGCCGCTGTGGCGTTTCCG